AAAAAAAAAAACTGCTTTATGAAACATTTTGAGGATGAGGATGTCCAGGTATTCTAGGTATTCTAGTTCCCTAACTATAGGTCTGGTTGGTGAAACAGCCTAGCACATTCTTCCAACGGTGCTATGCTGGTAACGACAATATGGCCAGTCAGTCAACTCCAACCGCTTGCTATCAGCGTTGGATCAAGGAAGCATTTCTCACTAGAACAGGTAATTGAGAACTAGTCGACTTATGACTACCGATAGAAGTCGCCCAGAGCGTGTTGAGGAGCAGGATTCAGTCCAAGTCTGCGTGCGCATCCGGCCACTCAGCTCCAGGGAGAAGCAGGAGCAGACAAAGAGCTGCATTCGGATTGCAGCGTCTCTCGACGGATTGTCCAGTAACAACACTTCCGTCTCGTCACGAGATGGATCGAAAAGGGGTCCTCAACAGCTCATCGTTGGAAAGGATCGCGCGTTCACATTTGACAACGTATTAGGTGTCACCAGCTCGCAAACGGTACGAGCACTTTGTTGAAAAGAATAGTGGAGACACTTCTCGAATTAATGAACATCGTTTTACAGGAGACGTATCGGTTGTGTGTGGCACCATTGGTTCAGGGATTCTTGGACGGCTATAATGCAACCGTGCTAGCCTATGGGCAGACCGGCACAGGGAAGACCCACACGATGGCTGGATCCGGGTTTGATGCTCGAGGACGAGAGAAGAATGGAGAGATGCAAGGCATCATTCCACGGGTAACAAGCACTGCCAAACTTAACAAAATTAGAATTGCTACTAAACAGATTTTTCAAACAGGTAATTAAAGCTGTATTCAAGAAGTTGCAACAAGAAGAAAGTGGCGATAACCAGCGTCGAAGTGACCACACTCTACGAATTGAGTACGTTGAAATCTACAATGAAGAACTTCGAGATCTTCTCCATCCCGAAACCACGTCAAAACAACTAGCAATTCGAGAAGATGGAGAAGGGAATATCGTGATTGCTGGGGTAAAATCTGAGCCTGCAGACTCGAAGGAAACAGTATTCAGACATCTAGTCGTTGGAGGTGCATCACGTGTCACTGGTAGCACGTTGATGAACGAACACTCGAGTCGTTCACACGCGATTTTCAGTCTGCTATTGGAGCAACGGGACCTCACTTCAGGCACGCGACGATTCTCGAAATTCCATCTTGTAGATTTGGCTGGATCCGAGCGTGCTAAACGCACTGGAGCAGTGGCGGGACGCTTCAAAGAATCCGTAAACATCAACCAAGGCCTTCTGGCGCTTGGTAATGTAATCAGTGCACTTGGAGATGACAAACGTCGAATTGGAACTGCTGGTGGCACTGTACACGTGCCATATCGAGACTCAAAGCTTACGCGTTTGCTACAAGACAGCTTGGGGGGCAATGCTCGAACCCTCATGATCGCTTGTGTGAGTCCAGCTAGCGTGAACTTTGAAGAAACGCTGAACACGCTAAAGTACGCGAACCGAGCGAAAAACATCAAGAACAAACCGATTGTGAACGATCGAGTCGCTAGCGAAGAGGAACGTCAGCGTAACGACTTAGAAATGACACGTATGAGAGAGGAGATTGCCAATCTCCAAACGCAACTTCAACAGCAGAAGACAGCGACACCACCGTCACGGACGCCATCTCGACCATCTTCGTCGATGGGAAAGCATGAGAAACACGCAGTCAACGAGCGGGAGTTGGCTATTGTGAGTCTTGAACTTGCACAAGCCACCAAGTGTGTGGGTTTGTATAGTGAAGCTGTGGAAAGTATCCGCACGTACTCGATGGAAGCTGCTACGCTCTTGGTGGCGATGGAACGGGAGATCATCTCGTTAGGGAGACCAGTTCAACAGAGACTCAATGAGATCGTGAAGTTGCTTAACGCGTCCATCCAAACGGCAAACTGCAGTGTTATCAGTGCCAAGAAACTCATGCCTTCACCGTCGAAACGTCGACATGAGAATGATGATCCTGCATGTCAAGAAAATGATTCGTCTCAACACGAGGAAGAATCAATAGTAGTCCAGCAACTCCGTCATGAACTCAAAGAAGCCAAAACTAATCTGGCTAGAGATGAACAGATTTTCGAGATGAAGAATGTGGATATTCAGAAACTTCAAGCGCTTCTGGTGGAGGCAAAAGGCAAGAATGAGAAGCTTATCCAACGAGTACAGGAACTTGAGCGTGGTGGTCAGTTGTGGTCTAATACTGAAGTCCCTATCTCTGAAAGCAAGAAGCAAGAGAACGATAACTCAAGCCGTACGGCCACTGCATCTCCTAGAGGTCGAACCTCTCGATCTTCTACTAGCAGAAGTAAGATACTAACATCGTCGCGTGGACTATTTACGCGTCGTGGAGGAACTGAGTCGTACGATGGTGAAGAAGACAAGGTTATCATGGACGATGAAGAGGAGTCCACGGTTCCTTCAGCTCCACGCAAATCTCGGAACGGAGCTATAGGTTTCTCGCGAGGAAGCAGCAGAAGCGATAGCAGTCGTGGCAGTCTCTCGTCGGGCACCAGATTGAAGACCAGAGAAGCTATCGAGAAACTGGAGAGCACTATCACAGCACTACAGGAAAAACTCGAGGAGTTGCAGAAGAAGAATGTACGGTGCGTTCGCTGGATTGACTATCACTTGCATTGATCTCTTACACTGTAGTTTTTGTGTGTTTTAAAGGAGGAACTACTGGACGCCCGTGAAGAATCTACCCGGCGGTGGGCACTGGAACGGCAGAACTACGAGCGTCAACTTAGTGAGGCTGAACACTCGATCGAGGCGTTAAAACGAGACAACCAGATCCTCGAAGACTCGGTGCTTGATAGCAATTGCAGCGAAGCCAAGGAGACAAACACTCACCCCAGTCCAAGTGCAAAAGCGACAACGAATGAAGACCGGCCGGATACAAC